TAACATCTTATATGCGCTGCCCCACCGGGTGTTGTTCTGTAGCGGCACAACGAGTGGTTTAGCAATACCGTTTTCGATTTGAAGCTGCTGGAACCGTTGTTTGCGCTGTCCTGAGGCTTGTATCTAAATAATGTTAATCATAGGAAACAAAATTGCAGAGACTGACGTACCTTGATAACAAGTGTGCGGATAGCAGCAATGACATCGAGACCATCACGAAGAAGGTTTTCGTGAGCGCTCGGATCATAGTCCCAGATGGACTGCTTTGACTCGAGCACGGCCACCTTGGTTACTGCAGCCATAAAGGCCTCTGTGCCTAGGGAGACTACATGTGCCAGACAGCTAAGCAGCAAGCTGTGTTAGTATAAGTGATAGGAATAGTAATATGTGACGTACCTAAGCTTGCGTTCATCAGCGCTCCAGCCAGTAATGCCACGGCGAGTGAACGTGCTTTCTACTTTGAGCGCCGTCATGTCATTATTGCTAGCGTTATCTGCAGTAACATAGCCGAGCTGTAAGCAAGGTGAGCCAAGTGATAACAGCTAAGTAAAGCGTAAATCACCTTGCTTGTCATTTGGGAGATGATGCCTACACGCGAGAGAAATTTCAGGAAAAACCGCCCAAGGTTCTGACCGTCGTGTGCGCCAACAATAACGTTAAAGCCCAATACCTCAGAACGGAGCTTCCAGCCATCAGGGGAGACGTCGATCCACTGACCCGTGATGCCAAAGCACGGGTCGCTCGTGTGCTCACGCGTCCATAGATCCCAATTGACAGAGACCTCACCAGGTGTGTTCTCGATTGCTGCCTTGATATTGCTGATATACTCGACGAACTTGTTGCAGATGTTCTGCCGCACTGTCCAGGTTGTCAGAAGCTCTTCGCGTGTGGTCTTTGGACGCATGACAACAAGAACGTTGGTGAAAGCGACTTCGTCAGCGAGTGCGAGAGGCTGCACAAGCAGCTAGCAATCAGCTGTAAAGCCTCTTGAAGTATCAAGTGATCTACGTACCAAGTTGCATACCACAATCAGCGTGCTAACTGCATCGAGGACTGTCCACTTGTTGAACTCAGGTATCTTGGCGAGCTTCTGAACAACGCCGTCCAATGACGACTGAACAGCGGTCTTTGTTGTCTTGGAAGCAGCTGCAGCCACAGCTTCGCGCGCCTTGCGGACCTTGGAGGGAATTGCTTCTTTGCTCTCTTTGATGTCTGCCTCTTTGCAGCGTGTTTGGTAGAGTGAATAGTGGCGTGAGGCGATATGGCGGCGAAGGCTTGAGTTGCCTCCAACAAGCCAGCCACGAGGGCGGTGCTTGAATCCCTTAGCTTTGAGATCATCTCTGGTAACAGCAGTGAGTACTCGGCATAGAACCTGAGCAGTAATCTATACTCACCGGCATACTGTGCACCATCTACCAATTTCTATAGTGACACTGCCATCGAGAGGACTCTTGAGCTTGAGCTTGGTGCTCTGAGTGAAGAAGAGGTCGAGATCGCGGGTCGTCTCACCCTTCAGAGCGACTACTTCTGCTTCTTTAAGCGAAACAACGTCATCGTCCTGTGAGAGTGTATTGCCCGATGTAGTGAGTAGTTATGTGGGCGCCGAACAGAGACGATACTTACATCGACTTCAATAGGAGCTTCGCTGCCATCAGCAATAGAGCCTGCATCCACTTCAACGACTTTGTCACTATCTTCGTCATCTGTGGAGCTACCGTCGCTGGTGTCATCTTCCCCTGTGTCCTCATCTTCTTCAGCTTCCTTGGCCTCCTTGGCACGGCGGGACGGTTTGCGCAGACGCTTTGGCCGCTTCTTTGCTGCGTCATTGGTGTCACTGTCTTCTAAGTCGGAGACTGCACTGCCCTTGCGTTTAGCAGTAAGTGTTGCGGATGTCTTCCCAGCGGCTTTCTTCACCGTGGCATTTACCGCCTTCTTTTCAGCAGACTTTGCCATCTTGATGTGGAATTGTTTTTTTTTACTGTTTCTGGTATGTCACTCCCCACAAGGCGGTCAGAGAACTCCGGCGTATGCCGGATGTCCTATATAGTTTGATCTCATCTGCCGGTAAGCCAGTCACACTTCCGTCACACAGCAGCTTTGGCTGAATGTGCGACTGCCTTCAAATAAGTCTAAATTAGAGTACTTTTGAACAATGAATTGATCTGTGCTTAAACACCCCTGTATAGTTGAATAAGCCTACGGAATTGTGGCAGCTATTCAGAAATCAAAATATACATCTGCTGGTAGCTAAGTCAATGCTTGGCTGCCACCATTTTGTCGCATTTTGTTCAGTCCGGGACTGGTCCTGACCGGTCATGACCAGTCCTAAGAACATCCGAGGCCATCTGGGACCAAGGACCATGACCAAGACTGGACTGATGTAGGACTGGACTGTACCCAGTCCTAATCAGTCCAGTCTCAGTCTGAGTCCCGGTCCCAACCGGTCCTTAGGACCGGACCCTCAACCACTA